CTTGCTTGGGAAATTCCAAATACAGAGGAGCCTAGCAGGCTACAGTCCATGGGGTCGCAAAATCAGACAAAACTGAGCAACTGAGTGTGTGTGTGTGCACGCACGCACACACACACACACACACACGCAAAAACAGGCAGGGTGGTGGAAGAGCAGATGGGGCACATGGACCATTGGGAAACTGTAATCCAGGCAAGGGATATGAGGACCTGAAATAGGACATCGTTGAGAAGAATGGAAAAAGAGGAATATTTCTGAGTTAGAAACGGTGGGGCATAGGCTTTGTGTCGATTTCCCAGTAATAAAGGACAGATTAAATGGATGAAGCAGAATCAGTAGTCTGAAAAGCTGTTTGTCAGCTTTTACACGATGGTTCTATTACTTGGTTTAGTTCCTAGGCACCTGTCTCTTCAAAATACATGACAAAGGTATTTTAAAATCTGGTAAAAAAATTTTTTCAATTTTGATATATTAAAAAATACTGGGAATTCCCTGGCAGTCCAGTGGTTAGGACCCTGCGATTCCACTGCAGAGGACCCAGGTTTGATCCCTAGTTGGGGAACTAGGATCCTGAAAGCATGTGTTGTGGCCAAAATAAACAAAACCAAAATGCATACCTCATTGCAATGAATAATTGAGATTGAACTACAAGAAATATGATGTTAAATTTAACTAGTCAAAAGAGAATATAATAATTAAATAAGAGGATTCTTTTCTTGCCAAAATTTAATAATATTTTAAAAATTCTTTGGCGATGCTGAGAAAATAGAGAACAAGAACTATATGTATATTTGCAGGTGATGCCACTGTGTGTTCTATCTGGGCCTCAGTTGGGTGTATCTCTATCCGTAAGTCATATGCAATTAGTCACATTGATAAAGTCACACTGACCAGAGAAAATATTTGCTTTTAAAATGATATTGCATATACAGTTATTTTAAAAAATACTTCCAAATCATTACTTCATTTAGTGTTTTTCTCTTCAAAATGTTTGAAGGCTTTGATCCAGTGCTGTCTAACTTCTAGTGTTGTTGACTGATGGATGCCCTGTTTTGCATTCTCTTTGGAAGCTTGAAGGTCTTATCTTTGTCTGCTATATGCTCACATCTCCTGATGACATGCTTTGGTATAGATCTATTTTTATCCATTTTGGTGGGCACTTGGTGAACTCATATAGTTTGGTAACTCATGTACTTCAGTTCCTGGGATTTTTCTTTGATTATTTCACTGATGACTTTCATCATTTTCCCCTCTTATCTCTGTTTTTGGGGCCATTATTATTTGGATTTTGGACTGGTTCTCTCTACTTCTACTCTCTAAGAAATTTCCTTAATTTTCTTTTCCAAAGCTTTTATCAATTTTTTCCCCCACTTATTCTCTACGGTGTTCAATTCTAAATGCTCTAAATGTCTCACATGATAGAGCCTTCCCTCAAATGTCTGATAATCCTTGGTTGTCTGCTAATATTTAAGAACAGGACAATAAAATGCTGATTGGAAACTCTGAATGACCGGGTGAGAGGTTGTCAGCTATAGTTTCCTATAGTGTGATTTGTTTGGGCTAATAGGTGGGAACCTCCCATGTCAATATCTTCAGGTCTTTCCTCTTAGAAAGAGGTTAATCAGGTTCCACACAGATAGACCTTCTAATCTCTTCCATGGAAGTTGAAGGTCTGGCTGCTGGAATCAGGGAACTGAGCTGGTAAAAACATTTGGGAGCCTCAGAATCTAATATCCAAATGTTCACTTAATCCCCCTAGCCTCTAGAGATCTCCACTTTCACCTTCTGCAGAGAATAAGTTTTCAGTACAGGCATTTAATCACTTAAATAATAAATGACATGATCAAGGAGTAGAGAACTCCTTTTAGCTATGACCAGAGAGGAAAGGTGAAATCTGTACTAGGGAATTCCTCAAAGCTGAGGGATTTTTGCTGGCTGATAGAAGAGAATGAGAGTGGACTGTTGATGACTAGTAGAATCTGGCTTAGGATAAAAATGGAAAATCTTGGCTTTTAATTCATCTTTGATGGGAGTGCCATGAACTGAAGATAATACTTCTTATTAAATTAATTGTTACATGACGTTGTTTCTTTTAGTCCCAAGGAGACAGCTGTGGAAAAGACAGCACCAACTCCTGGCTGCTCTTCTGCAGTGCAGGCAGCTACAAGGGAGTCTACTAGTCATCACCCTTGCTTCTAAGGGGAAAATGTTAGCAGGCCAGTCATTCCATCTAGATAGCAACTTGCCACTTGACTTGATTGGCGCTATTCTCTCTCTTCTTTTTCTGAGCTTTTTAGAATTCTTGCCCTCTGAATAAGAGGCCAAGGTCAAGTCTTTCTCCCAAGGGAGCAAAGCCCATTGTTTCTGCTGCTTTTCCTTTTGACTGAAAAGTTTCTTTGGGCAATAAAGATCTCCCTGATAAAATTGGGTGTATGAGTGTAGATTTGGGGGGGGGGGCGCTATTAGAAAGAAGAGACTGAAACTATGCCGACAAGAATTACTGTGTCTGCCAGTTAAGGTGAATGAGCGTTAAACTTAAAATCTATGAGATAATATCCTTCTTGAGGACAGGGGGGTTTCATACTTTCTGTTCTGAAACAGCACTTAGTACCACGCCATGCATGTAAGAAGTGTTCATTAAATATATTTCAATGTTTATTCTTTGAGGCTGATTAGCTTACACTATAGAAACAGTACTATTAATTACCATTGAATTTGGGTTACTGGCTGTTTCTGTCAGCTTTTATTTATTATTTTTTAAAATATTTACATATTTATTTAATACTTATTTATTTATTAGTTGCAGCTCATAGGATCTTTAGTTGTGGCATGTGGGATCTAGTTCCCTGACAGGGATTGAACCTGGGCCCCTCAGCATTGGGAGCATGGAGTCTTAGCTACTGGGCCATCAGGGAAGTCTCTCTCTCAGGTTTTAAATAAAGTCTTCTGGCTCTATCTGGCAAGGTCGGCAAAAGCTCAGAAATGACTTACAAGTAACAAAACTCCAGTTTTTAAAACTATTTTCTGTCTTCCATATATATATATTGTAGATTAATCGAAAATGTGTTTGTGGGAAACACATTCCCTTAGTAAAAATGATACATGAAAAGACTGTACTACAGGATGAGGAATAAATTCATGTTCAATGTCAAATAACTGACAGATTTAATTCCAGCCTCCCTTTTTTGAGTGTGTACTATACACCTGGCACTCTGCTAGGTGCACACTACAGAGAGATGTATGGCAGCTCAATAAACTATATAATAATATGGGTCATAATAGATATGAAAAACTTTACCAGTTAGTCCCTCAAAGGAGTGAGGGAGCCTCCATGACTGAGGGTTTGAGCAGTGATTTCTTCTTCTAAATTAGTTGTATGAGAAGGATGAGAAGAAACTGGCTCTTCTTTTCTCTTGGAAATAGCATAAATCCTTGAATGGGATTACATGCTTTCTCCTCTCCTAAAGATTTCATTTCAGTTTTACCACTGAGACTATTTCTGATGGAATGAGGCCTAACAGTTCTAATTAGACTTCTCTTCTTGATGTTTAGGTCTTTGCTACAAAAAATGGCCATTGGGCCTTATATCGCTTAGAACACATTAGATTACAAACAGCAGAGTACTCTAACCCTGTCGGTTCCATCAGGGACGGTAGACCTGGGTTCAGAAGCTGTGATTAGAGACTTAAAAACATCACCGAAGCATATCTTTTTCTGTTTATGCTTTCTCCATGTCTACTTTATTTTCACCTGGCAGGACCTGCTGGTTGGAAGATGGCGGTTCAAAGTTCAGGAGTTTCTTGATTTTTTTTTTTTGCCCCATAAAATATGCTGCTGGTATTCCTTCACATTTTTGGGTTGCTTTTAAATGCTCCTGGATTTCTTGAGCACATGCAGAAACAGGAGGTTGCCTTTGAAACTCTCTTGGAATATGAAACAAACAAAAAACTCTCCCCGAAGCCCCAAGTGTTGGCCCAAATTGTGTCATGCACATTGCCAACCAGTAACTGCAGCAGGGAATAGAACTATGCTAAGTTATTTAGGTTGGAATTTTGCTAATTTGCTTACTCTGGAACCACATTCTCTAGTAGACAGCTAGGCCAGGGATGTGACGCCAAGCAGCAGGGTGGTTGTTTACCCAGATAAGGGGGAGTAGATACAGGGGAGGCTACAGAATCTGGCACAAATACAGAATGTGGCAGATGACAACGTCATGGAAACCCTTACCCTCAAGCTACAACTGCCTTCTTCCGCTGGACAGCTCTATTTGTAATACAGTATAGTAATCGCATATCTGCAACTGAGGTTGTTTCCATGCAGATCAGGCCTCCAAAGGCTCCTTCTTGCCTTCGTGGTGTTGGCTGCATTTTTCAGTGTTATTCTGGATCTGTCTTCTTTCCTCACTGTTTCTTCTGCCGGGGTCTCACTGGTCCTTACTGCATTCACTGACCCCAAAGAGTCAAACCCTGGCTGATATTGGAGAAAACCTTACTTTGATATCCGAATGGAAAAAAATTGAGGTTTAATTATTTTGTCGTCTTTCTACTCCGTTTGGGGTTCTTCAGGCCAAGTTCAGTACTTGCGCCAAGACTGCGGCTGTGCGACAGAACCTACCTGGGCCATCTCTAAAACGAAGGGACTGGCTTGAACCATTTACAAAAACTCTTCTTGCGGTGCGATCCGGTAGTCTTGATTGGAAATCGGACAGGACGAGAGGGCTGCAGACGTGGAAGCTTGAGTGAGTGGAGTGTTTGGGAACCTGAAGCCCACGTTGCTTTGTGTGGTTTGAGGGAGGTCTTGCCTCTTCTGCATTCCGCCCACCAACGAATTTGACCCTCCGTACCTACTCCAAGAGCCCAGCAAGGTGGCCGGTCTCCCTTCCTCACGCACTCATCTTCCGCGCCGAGCCATGCGTAGCCTCCTAAGGCCGAAGCCTCCAGGCCAAGCCAAGCCTGGCGTCCGGCGTCCGGCGTCCAGCGCGGCTTGCTCTGGAAAACCTTTCAGGATTCTTGCGGCCTCGGGCTAGGTGGCCTGGGCAGCGGATCCAGATGCGCCCGCTGTTGCGTCTCCGCCGCTCCCCTTCGGGAAGAGAGGCCAGAGCAGAACGGGCTGGGGGAGGCGCCACGGCGACTGCCGCCCATCTCCCGAGGGCCCGACCAGGCTTCCTCGGAGGCGGCCCGGCCCTGCCTCACGGGGTGCCTGCGCGTGCCTCCCGCCCCTCCCCACCCGCTCCGGTCCGCCTCACCCCACCGCCGGCTTTGTCCGCCAGCCGCGCGGCGGCCCCTCCCCGTTCCCGTCGGCTCCTCCCCGCCCCCTCCGCTGGCCCCACTTCCTCGGCGCAGGCGGCGGGAGCGGACCGGGGACGAAGGGGTTAACCCGGGGCTCTTCCCGGCGCGGAGGGATCCGGAGCCGAGCCGAGCGCGGTGCTGAGGCTGCCTCAGCGAAAAAAATGTCCGCCTGAGGAGACCCACAAGTTCTATTCGGGGGGACCGCCAGCCCGCCCCGGGAGGAAGGGGCGGCCAGGCCCGAAAGCCGCCTCCCCGGCCCGGATCCGAGAGCTCGCGCGGGGCAAAGTGAGCCGAACCGCCGGGCGGTGCAAGGGGAAGCCCGAGCCCGCTCTCCCGGCCAAAGTGAACTTTAATCGAGGTGGTTGGATGCGGAGACGGGGCGGCAGGTAATTGCGGGCCGGTGAGCGGGAGGGGGACGCCGTGGTGGGACTGGGAGCTGCGGGGCGCCGCCGTGTCCCGGCCGGAGCAGAGGCGCCCCCGGCCCGCGCCGCAACTCCGCACCCCTTTGTACAGAAGCGAACCCGGGGTCCCCTCCAAGTTGGGGAGCGGAGTGGGGGTGGAGGTGAGAGTCGCGGACGGCCAGGCCCGCGGGCGGCGCGCTCGGCCTGCGCGCCCGGCTCAGCGCTCGGCAGGGGCTCCCGGGCGCGCGGGAGAGCGGGCTCTTCGGCTACCGAGCCAGGCTCATTGTTAAGCAGCTCCGGGGTCGGCCGTCCGCAGGCAGGGCAGCAAAAGTGGGAGGAGGCCGAACCGGGGGAGGAGGACGCCGGGCGAGAGCGGGACTAGTTGTCCGTGTTTCTGTTTTCTTTTTAAAAACGTCTCTGGGACGCGCGGGGGATGCTTTCCGACCCCCGGGGCCCGCGGGGGACGTCCGGGCGGCGGCGGCAAGAGACGCGGGCCTGCGAGCGGCGCGTTCCCTGCAACTTGTCAGTTCTATTGTTGCAGAGCCAGTGAGTCACTTCGCTACTCCCCTCGCCGCCGTTCCGCTCTCTGGATGCCCAATCGTCCCTCACCCCGCCCCTGGAGACCCCCGCCCCGGCCGGGCCTCGCGCGTCGGGCACCCGGCGGCGGCGGCGCGGGGTAGGGGGCGCCGGGGAGGGGGCAGGACGGGCTCGGAAACTTGCGGGAGAGGTGACGAGTTGCGGGAGCCCCCGCCTCGCTCCCGGGCCGGGCCGGGAAACGCGTGGATTCACGGACCCGTGCGGGCGCCGGGCTCTCCTGCCCCCTGCCCGCGCGGCGGTAGGGAACGAGGAGGGTATTGGAAGTCAGCCTTGCGCTTTTCCTCTTCCTCTACGCTCCTCTCCATCCCCGAACACACTTTGGGCCTCGGCGGTCTCTGGCTGGTCTCTAGCTGAGCCTCTTTTCTCTGCCTTAGGACCTGTTAAAAGTGGCCGAAGATGAATCCCCAGCAGCAGCGCATGGCCGCTATAGGGACCGACAAGGAGCTGAGCGACCTGCTGGACTTCAGTGCGGTATGAGAGCTCTCCGCGGCATCTTGGGGTTCTGCTGAGGTTTACAGAAAAAGAAAAGGGGGCGAGCGACATGGAGACTAAGCAGCGTGAACTCCATCTGCTTTGAGCAGTAGTTCTCAGGGCTGGAGTCCAGCTCCCCCAAGTTGGACACCTGAACTTTGATGTAATGTCTAGACTTGCAGATTTAAAACTTTAATGCCAGAGGGGTCACTTGATTTAACCAGTGAAAAGGAGAACAACTTAATCTTGAGCTTTGGTTTAGTCACCCTCTGACCCTGATGGTTATTAGGGATTTTGAACTTCATATGAAAAAAGAAAATTGTTTTTTTCTTCAATACTCCTAACCATTTCCTTTCCCAAGATGTGGTATAGTTTATGGTACCTGAACAATTTACGAGAAGCTAGCGAAGGGCTAAAATTTCCTGCCTTTTGGGTTGAACCCTCTTAAGATAAATGTATGTGGACTTTACACGTGTATGTGTGTGGAAATGTGTACGTGTTATGAGAAGTGTATTGTGTGTATATATGTTTGAAATTTTTTTAACACAGGGAAAAATATCACCTGAAATCAAAGAGCCCATTGCCCTTATTTCTAATGGGTTGAATTCGTTTATTAACTGCTTTTACAAAATGAAGATCATTGACTAAAACTTACCGTTTAAACTTAATAATCTTAGAATTTCTCATACAAGTGACTGGATTTTCAGAACAGAAAATAGCCAGTATTTCCAAATAGTGTGAGGAAATAGTATTACCAAGTGTGTTTGCCTCTCTGGATCTGAAGGTATATCTCCATTTTTGACTTTTCTCTAAAATACAGTAGCTAGTTGATAACTCTTGATGAACTTCTGTTTGCAAGGAGTCTAGCAGAATTTCAGGACTAATAGAAATGTTTGGGTTATTTTGTAGATGTTTTCCCCACCTGTTAATAGTGGGAAAACCAGACCAACGACACTGGGAAGCAGTCAGTTCAGCGGATCAGGTAAGATCATGTCTAAAATCAGAAACTCTTATGTTGGTGTTATGATACGTTTATGTAGAAAAATATGAAGTGTTTTGGTATTTTTTTTATGCCATTCTTTAGCGTCTAGTTAAAACTATCAACAAAAACAACAAACTCCAAATGTGGGCTGTAGCTCTAAGGATCCATTGACATTTCTTTGAGAATTTCAATGTGAATTTAAAAAATTTTCTTTTCTCTGAATTTTTAAGTTGAAAGTCATCTTGAGTACAGGTGATTGTGTCATGCTTCTGTATTTAGAAAAGTACAAGAAGAAAATGCTCTTTGGTCTATGTTGTTTTTTTGTTTATATACATGTGTGTATTTTAAAATTTTTTCTAAATTTTAGCCCATTAGCATTATTAAACCTTTGGAAAAAAAGACTTGGTAAAATAATATTACTTAAAATAGGCGTATGAAAACTGAAATTGAGTCAAGCAATAATTAGTAAGGCTTATTTTAAAAGATGGCTATTCCTTTGGAAGTCTGCAGGAAGTTAACAATTTTGTAGACCGTTATTTAAAATGTTGCAAATAAATGAATAGCAAGTTAGATTTACTTTCAAATAACACAAATGACTGAATTCTGTCCCACATTCACATTACAGTAGAATAACATTTAGAATAAGTTAAATTCCTACTCCTATGGTAGTGCTTTGCTCTTTAGATTTACCTCCTGTATATTTATAACTACTTTGCTCCATTATTAATATTTATCCCATATTTCTTAAGAATGCACTTTTTCCTTTATACTCATGATTTAAAAAAATAAATGTTTCAGAAGCTAGGTTTATTCTAGTGTAGAAAAACTATAATTTTCTGTTTAACTTAGATTATTCCTTAGTGCTCAGAGATGAGAAAAAAATAAAGGCAAGACAGCATCATCCTAAGAAAACCAGCTGTCAAATCTCTAGGCTGAAACTCAATATATTTCCTTTTGACTGTTGCTTTTTTCTTTCCCCTAATAAAATGATAGCTGATTTCTTAAGTGTGAAAGCAAAACATCAGAAATGGTTAATTTCATAACCAGTTTAACCCTTTATACCACTTTACGTTAAAAAAGTTTCTATTTAAAAATCATACACTACTTGAATTTACTAAAATTCATTTTTAATTATGAAATTACAACTTAAAGGGAAAATATAGCATGTTTTATATCTCAAGTAAAATAAAAATGTTTTGGATTTTAAATATTCTAAAGACTAGTATTATTCTTAATCAAAAGACTATCATAAAATGTCAGCCAAACCTCAGCTCTTCTCCCACTTCTGTTTATTGGTAATTGTTTGGAAAGTCATTGCTTTTTTGGGTTGGGGAGAGAATGTTATTTGTTAGAAGAAGGCTGTCTTTTCTTTCTTTACTACTGTTTTGAGTACCTGTCAAATTTTGCAGTTGATATACTCAAGAACTTTAAAACTTACTTTGTTGACTACATAGTAGATGCTTAGTATATTTCATTAAATGAGTAATGATATTGCTGTTTCAGATTGGCTTGAATTGTAGAAAATATATGTAACAGACATTGATATCAGGGACCTGAGCTTCAGAAATTTGCTATTAGAAATACTCTTCTGTTTTTGGAATAATGTCAACTATATGTTTTTTTTTTTACTTTTTAAAATTAAAAGTATGGTGAACTTTATGTGTATTACTAGCATGGCACTGGGGCAGTTGTGGGTCCTTTTTGTAGCATGCATTATACAGATAAAAAATTATTTTTCTACACTGTAGAAGTGTTTATAGTATTTGTTTCTTTGGAGCAGGAAATTTTAAGTTTTAAAACTGTTAGGTTTTGTATCCAGTGAAAAGGAACTTAAATATTTTTCTGTGCGGTTTTTTTTTAAATTTCAGGAAAAAATTGTAATTAAAAAAATCTGTGACCTTTAGTAATTCTGAATAGATTTAGCTTTGGGGGAAGGGGAAATTGCAAAGCAATTATTTTATGTGAAAGTATACTGGTAGATATGGCCTTATAGCCGTTTCTTATCTTAAAGGAAACGTTTAAAAGAAATTGGTATGACAGTATTGTTTTACTTATGTATTTTATTGACACTTGAATAATCTTCTGTCCTGATGTCAAAGGATATGTAATACATCCTAATGACTGATTATTTGCAGTATATAAGGAAGGAGCTAAAGATCTGACTTTGCTTTTGAAGACATGACTTAAAGACTAATTACCTTGTTTTTGAAATAACATTTATAAAAGCCTCATGAAAACTGTAAGTGTGTAGTATAATTTCCCTTATTGATTGTCTTTTTTGATGCTGACTTAATTTCACTGTAAGTGCTATAGTATGTGATGTTATTTTAAAATCTTATTCTGAATGGAAAATATAACTTATAGCTGACACTTTATCAAAAGTCACCGTGGAAAAGGTTAATGTCTTATTTTCTATTACTTATTTGTCTTGACAGTAAGTAATATGTCAAAAAATAAGGCAATAAAAATGAGTCATAATTTTTATTTTTTCAGCAAGGGTGTTAATTTTCTTTGCATTATAATAAGACTGAACTTGTCTACTTGATAGGCTAGAATCTCTGAGGTATTCTTACGGTGGCCTTGAGAGAGGGGCTTCTTTCTGTGCGAGTCAGAGGTGAGGCACTTGTAGGACAACACTGTCCTGTTAGAGGAAAGCTGGTTGGAAGGACTGACAGAGTGGAAATAGTTCGGTGTTTGAATCCACTCTCCCCTCCAACTTTAGGTCTTGAGTGTGTAGAACTAAATTGTGATATTGGGCTTCGATTTTAGTAGTTTAAATATTTACATGATAGCTGAAAGATTTCCTTTGTTGGTTTTTTAATCCAAGTCATGAGAGGTATCCAAAGGAAGTGGGATATATTTGTTTTGTAAGTAACCTATACGTATTGAGTCTGTCTCTTATATTTCTATCTAGAAAGTTATTTTAGCTACCAAGTAAAGCTTTCACTTTTCTTTGTTCAAATCAGACTTTTGTAACACTATAAATTTCTTGCCGAAGATTTTTGGAAAGAATTACAAGAATTATTTTCCTAGCTCTTAATTTTTAAAAGGAATACAGGTTTTCATTTTTTGGGTGGTATTTTCACATGTACATATAGACTTTTTGAAAATATTGATATGGGGCAGAAAAATGAATTCTCATTAAATTTCTCCTCAGTTTTTTAAATTAAACTTTTTGTTTTGAGATAATAGTAGATTCATATGCAGTTGTAAGAAGCAATACAGAGATCCCACTTGCACTTTACCATGCTTCTCACAATGGTAACATCTTGTAAAACTATGGTACAGTATCACAGCTAGCTTTCTGACAGTGATAAAGTCAAGATACAAGAGCAGTTTCATCATCATGAAGATTCCTGATGTCCTGATGTTTCCCTAATGTAGCTTTATCTATTTTTAAAGTAATTTGAAAAGAAAAAAGGGAAAAATTAGTCAATACTAACTTACAGATTGCCACAGTGTTGTTCAAAATATCAAAAGAGAGAATACCAAAGTTTTACCAATGTATTTTTTAACTGAATTGTAAGTATAAGTAGGAGTGGTAATTTTATAAAGGCAAAACTAGGTTTGGGTTTTTCACTTAAGGTATTATAAACTTATGAATAAGGTATTATAAACTTATGAATAAGGTATGTTTCATTTTATGTACCTATCAGTATTGAAATTCCTTGACTACAGTGTGTAGTAATACAGACTTAGTCAAATTTAATACTGCTACTTGGATAACTGAGCCATGTTAGACATTTGCTTCTGGCAAGCTGTAGTGATCAGTAAGTAACTGCAGAGTCAACAGGCATATGAAGAAAAATACAATATTTTAGGATAAATATAATCTATTGTTAAGTTGCTTATTTAAAGTAAAAGTTAAATAGTAAAGGAGTATTTTTAGAGAATCTGTATATGAAATTATAATCTTAGAAAACAGAAAAATTAGATACAAGATTATAACCATGGGTATTGTGTGTTTTTAGGAGTAGTTCCTATAGTTATTTTAAGTAGTCATGGCTTATAATGGATTTGAAAAGCAGTTTGATTAGGTCACAGTATTTTAGAGGGTTGGTTTTACAGTGAGCCATAGCTTTGATTAATTATTATTTCTGTTTTCATTAACAGTTTAAATACAGATTCAACTTTCTTTTATGTTGTCTTTTGGTTTGTCTTTTTATTTGAGTTTTAAAATCATTCTCTTGGATAGGAAGATAAAAAAGATGAAGATTGCTGTTTTTATTTAGTCACTAAGTTGTGTCTGACTCTTTTGCGACCCCATGGACTGTAGCCTACCAGGCTCCTCTATCCATGTGATTTCCCAGGCAAGAATACTGGAGTGGGTTGCCATTTCCTTCTCCAGGGAATCTTCCCAACCCAGGGATCGAACCCAGGGAGCAAACCCATGTCTTCTGCATTAGCAGGCAGATTTTTTACCTCTGAGTCCACCAGGGAAGCCCAAAGGTGAAGATACTCAACTTTAAATATAAACACAGTTGTTTTCATTTTCACATTTTAGATTTAATGGGGCTATATACAGTAATCTCTTTTTTTATATGTATATTCTTTTTATTTTTTAAATCATTTTTAAAGTATTTGTTTATTTGGGCATTGGGTCTTAGTTGCAGCAAGTAGGCTCTTCCTTCGTTGTGGTGCATGGACTCTAGTAGTGGTACATGGGCTTCAGAGCACTCCGGCTCAGTAGCTGTGGCTCACAGGCTTAGCTGCTCTCTGGCTAGTTCCCAGACAAGGGATTGAACCCGGGTCCTCTGCATTGCAAGGCAGATTCTTAACCACTGGACCATCAGGGAAATCCCAGTAATTTATTATTAAAGCCAAATAGTCTTTTTTGTTCTTGAACAATTGATAATCATGTGTGGAATGTCATTGTCTGCCTAGTGTTGTCAAAGGCTGGAATAACTTTCCACAAAAGAGTAAAATAACACTATTAGAAAAGGTCTCCTGGAAAAAAAAGTAGTTTTTGGACAGTGTGTGGAATAATTAAAAAAAAAAAA